AAGTCGCTGGGGTATATTTGTAGCAATAGCCAACAATACATTGTATGGGTCAAAATTATACATTTTTCTTTTATGCCAAAAATCATTAGGATATTAAGTAAAGATCATGTTCCATAAAGATATTTTGTACATTTCCTACTGTAAATATATCAAAACTTATTTTTTATAAGTTACATGCATTGCTAAGAACTTAATTTGGACAACTTGGCAATTTTCTCAATATTTAGATTTTTTTTTTCTTTTTGCACCCTCAGATTCTAGATTTTCAAATAGTTGTATCTCGGCCAAATATTGTCATAATAAACTATACATCAATGAAAAGCTTATTTATTCAGCTTTCAAATTATGTATATTATGGGTCAAAATTATCAAAAAAAAATTTATTTCAAAAATCATTAGGATATTAAGTAAAGATCATGTTCCATAAAGATATTTTGTACATTTCCTACTGTAAATATATCAAAACTTATTTTTTATAAGTTACATGCATTGCTAAGAACTTAATTTGGACAACTTGGCAATTTTCTCAATATTTAGATTTTTTTTTTCTTTTTGCACCCTCAGATTCTAGATTTTCAAATAGTTGTATCTCGGCCAAATATTGTCATCATAAACTATACATCAATGAAAAGCTTATTTATTCAGCTTTCAAATTATGTATATATCTCAATTTCAAAAAAACTGATCCTTATGACTGGTTTTGTGGTCCTGGGTCACTTATGACTGGTTTTGTGATGCTGGGTCACATATGAATATATATTTGAAATACAGGATTATATTTTTCTGAAGGTTGTCCAGTAAGGTACGCAATAACGGTGTTACAGAAATGTATTTAGAGGCACGTATACTTCCAATGAGCCTGGGTTGGAAAATCAGTATGGCAAGAAGACTCCGCAGTCCTGTGTTCTCTCTTCTTTTCTCTCATGATTGGGTAGAATACTTATCCCACCAGGTGTCAGCACTCTAGTCATGCAAAAATAGTTCAATTTGGTCCTAAGCTAATAAGTAATTTTCTCACCCAGTGCACAAAGCTGCATGTTATACATTAGACTAGAGCAGTGGTTCTCAAACCTGTCCTGGAGTACCCCCAGCCCTGCACATTTTGTATGTCTCCCTCATCTATCACACCTGATTCAACTCATCAGCTCATTAGTGGAGACTGCAAGACCTGAAGTGGGTGTGTCAGATATAGGGAGACATACAAAATGTGCAGTGCTGGGGGTACTTCATGGAGAGGTTTGGGAACCACTGGACTATAGCATATGGGGTCCAGCGATTGGCTGACTGTTCAGTTAAACCAAAACCAGTTATCTTAAGTGTGAATGATTGGCTTATTATTCAGCATCAGGGCTCATTATGCCCTTATCCAGTCATCATATGAGGTGAGTGATTGGCATATTGTTAAGCGAAAGACTGTATAATAGATGATTCACAGCCTGTGAGCTTTGACTGACAGCCAGTAAGAGTGACAGAGAATTTAGTTAAAACATCATGCATTCCCATCTTAAAACAGAGTTATTTTTCAGGTATTGGCAAATGGTACATATTAGTACCTTAAAGGTACATATTAGTACTTTTTAAAATACATATTAGTACCTAAAGTAATATATTTAAAAGTAAATATTAGCACCTGTTAAATGGGTACCACCTCAGTGACAATTTTGTATCTTTTTTTTTCCCTGAAAGTGTAT